GCCCCGCGCACCCGCTGCCGCCTCCCGGCAGGGCGGCGGGGCAGCGGCGGGAGCAGCCGGGGGCTCGGGCGGCAGCGGCAGCCGTACCTGGTGGGGCCAAAGGGGGGCCGCCAGCCTGGCGTTTGGGGCACCCTATCATAAAGTAAAGGAGGTATAATTGAGCTACGGCTCTCTATCCTGCTATTTGTACAAATAAAAGACCACATCTTGATGCAAAATAAACACAAAAGCACTGTTGTGACTATAACAGGGAGTCATATACTAATTTATATAATAAGTGGTTGTGCACGCTTTATTCAAGATTATGGCTGCAAGAAATGGCATGAATTGCTGGGTGTGTTTAATGCTGGATTATAGCAATTTGAAACATGTCAAACACATGGCTAATGCCTCATGCTTCACTCATTCTTGCGTAAACCTGCATAGCCACCATCCATTATACCCTTGGTAACAACACAATTCTGCAAGTAAATATTGTTACACTAAGTAACCTTTCAATTCAAGTTGTTTAGGAAGAGAAAATGCAATCTTGTGCAGTCAGTTCCAGTGTCAGTTTAATGTTTCAAAAGGGAAGTGGTGTAGAGAATAAGTATCTGTACAGTGAGTCGCCGGCTTCAGACACATGCGTGCACGCACGCACACACGCGCACGGAAAATGTACAATCAGCTGCAGGGGAGAAAAGTAAAACTGTAGCTTCTAACTTCACCTGACCGGTATTTCTTTTTTTGGTATGGGTGATTGCCTGTATATCCTGGCAGAATTAGGCATTCAACCTGCAGCGCAACCACATGCTAAAATAATCCACAGTTTCACTCTCTCTTGCAGAAAGCAGCAAATAGTTTCCCCATAGCTTTGTTTAAAATACCTGGTAGCAACGGTTGTATCTCACCTTTGGCAACAAGAGTTTGGGAATCACAGCAGAAGTAGGTGCTGGTGAACGTACGTGTCTGTGGATGTGGGTGCGTGTGTGCGCGCGTGCCTGTGTAGGCATGCTCATGGCTGACAGCGAGTGTGACAGCAAGAGAAAAAAGAGAAGGATTAGAAGTGTGAGTGTGTATAAATGTGTGTAAACAGGGACCTGTATGTTTTTTCTTGTCCTATTTGAAATACGAAACTTTCAGCTCCAGTATCTGGTGGTCATTGTATTTCCTTTGTATTTATTTATGATTATTGTGCTAACAAACCGCACTACTGTTGTTAAAGCAAGGAAAAAAGTGTGTTAGTTTGCTTAGTGAGATGTTTTAGGTTCAGGTTATTCCATGACCAGTAACTGAAATTACTGATACATAGGTATCAGAAATGATCCTCATTTATATGTTTTCAGTGCTTTAATTTGCGAGGGTTTGGAGTTGCTAGTACATACACACACACGTGTATAGATACACACGCATATGTGTGTGTGTGTGCAAGAGAAAAGAAGGGAAAAGAGAAAGATTTTGTGCTCTTGCTTTTGCCAGCAGCCCTTTCTTAGTTGCCGGCAGTGGGAAGGGGCTGTGGACAACTAACACAGAGCATTACTCAAGCCAAAGTTTCAGCATTGTTTTTAAAAATACCCTTTTATAACTAGAAAAAACCTTTTATTTTTAACATAAAATTTTAGGCTCTCTCTCTTCTTCATATAAATACTTCAGTATTTCTTCCACTTCACCTCCAAATAAATTACCCTTTCTAGTATTGATACTCTATAGTTTCATTCTCTCTGTACACAGCTGTTGGGTCAGATTTGTTGTTTTCCATTGCCAGAGTACTGTTACTGGTCATGTTATGTTAAAGCCGATTCTGCTGGCTCACAGATACTTTAACTTAAAATGCAGAGCCCGAACTACACTCTGGGGCTTTGCAAGGATACAAAATCCACAAGACATAAACCCCTTTGGTTAATATGAGCTGGAAGATGTTTAACCCTTCTCTGCTAATTGTAATGAAAGAGTCAGAGAGATGTAAAAACGGGGAGGGGGGGCCGGGGGGGGGGGGGGCCCCCAGTCAGGCTGGGTGGGGGTCCCAGTAGAGCTGTGTGGGACCCCTGGGCAGGACATGGTGCCCAGGGGGGGGCGATGTATTTATTTATTAAATTTCTGAGTGTTTTCTAATGTTTTGATTATCTAACATTTACACCCCTTTGCCCTTTTAATGCGCTTGGCTAAATGTACCACTGTTATTGTCTAATGTTCGAATTTGTAAAAGATGAACCTGTCTGTTGGTTAAATCTTTGTTTGACTAAAAGAGGATTAATGTTTGAATTTCCCGAATTTCCAAATCCTTGTAACGATACAGTTGATGAAGTGTTTTAAATAGATTTCCACTCTGATATACATGTCTTTTTATTGAAAGTAAATATTGTAAAAATCGGAAAGGGCTGCCTGCTCCCACAGTTGTGGCATACCCGCATTAGAATTTTCATATAACTACTAAAGGCAATCAGACCCTTTTCTCTGAATATTTTAAACATTGTACATGTAAAATTTATGCCTAATTTGAATACTTATTAGCTGCCTAATCTCAGAAAAGAGTATTAGCTTTGTTTTTGCCTTGTAAAATTCATCACTGTGTGTATCACATTTTCCATTTCTATTATTTTTCTTCCCTGATGTTTGTAAGAGTGTTTAAGAAGGGCTGTTTGTTCATAAACACATCTGGTGCTGCTGTTGTTTACTGGGCTATAACAGCTGCCCTCCTTTATGCTAACTGTGTTAGTGTTTGAGTTTTTTGCATCCTGTTTATTTTTGACCAGACCATTTTTAAATAGCTCATCTTTAGTATTTTAACTTTTTTCACACAATATACACTTTCACTTTATCTTGTCGGCACTTGTTTGTGTTAATTCCTAAAGTGTTTTGATTAATATCCCATGCACGTAGTTAAAGTTGTAATGATCCTTTTCCTGCCTTTCTTTTTTTTTTTTTTGCCTTTTTTTTTTTTTTTTCCAGAGAAAGGCTATTGCTCATACTTTGCAAGGGAACAAATAACTAAGTTCAATAATTAGGCTAAGCAGCAAGCTTTATTTCTTTTCCTGAGTTTGCTTACACATCCCTCTCCCTTCAGAGGTGTCTTTTAAAGTCACAGCTCAGCCAGGTTGTTGTGGGGACTCTTTCAGTACTCGGGACTGAGGGTGAAGGAAAGTGAGGTCCATTCTGACCCTGTGAGAGCAGGAGAGGACTTTGGTGGCTCTGAGAAGAGACGTTGACCTTTCCATATTACAGATACAAAATGCGCCTTGAAATTCTGGTTTGTAAGGGCACGTTGGTTCTTTATTTACTGCAAAGATTTCAACTGATCTTGGCAGGACATCTCATTGCTATCCTGAAAGTACAGTATATTTATGCAGTGAAAATGATAAAACATTTATTACTGTAGAGAAGGTAATATGCATAATTTATGCTGTTTTTAGCACAATCATTAGTGATATTCTTGATAGATTTTATTTCCAGCTTTCATATCTAATACATGCCTGGAAAATTAATTTTATATCTTTCATTTATTTGCCTATGTTAAAATTGAGTTTTAAGTCATCTTCAAGTGAACAGTTTGATTGCTGCTCATGCATAAGCTTAATTACTTCCCAGGAAGGACAGTATTAAATGTTTTAAATGTCAGAAAAATAAATGAATATCAGCCGTTTGATTAAAAAAATAGGCAATATCTGACGTGTTTGCAGCAGGAGCTTTTTCTTAAAATGCCTCCGAGGCAAAATTTTATTTAGTCACAAAAAAGGAGAAGCCCATTATACTATTTATCATTGGTTGATACCATATGATTTGTAACACCCTTACAAAATTTTAATTTTGTATGATTAGCTGTGCATCATTAAACAACAGCCTTGCATAAGATATGCTGTAAAATTCTGACAGAATCAAGATAGTGAATATTTTAAATAAGGCTGTATAGTCATCCATGGTTGTCAAAGCTAGATAATAGGAAATATAGAGCAGTGTGTGAAATCGTGCCTTCATTTAAACTGGTTTTATAGGTAGACTTTAAAATGTAGTCGTTCATAAATGCTATTGACCATGCTGCGTGCATGGTGTGTTATTTTGGCCGTTAAATGTAAGCACACAAAGATTGCTTATAGAAACCATAATTCCGGTGATTAGTATCTGTATGAAAGCAGAGTTTGCATCGCATTTCTTGGTAAACGGCTCCGCGAGGCTTTTTTCTTCTTCTAAAGATGCTGTCTGTGTAATTGGCAGAGAGGGACATCTTGATAATGGAAGTGTGAAGGTGTAACGCGTGTGTTAATTGATACTTCTTAATCACTTTTAGGTATTAAGTCATGATGCAGGAATCTGCGACAGAGACAATAAGCAACAGTTCAATGAATCAAAATGGAATGAGCACTCTAAGCAGCCAATTAGATGCTGGCAGCAGAGATGGAAGATCAAGTGGTGACACGAGCACTGAAGTAAGCACAGTAGAACTGCTGCATCTGCAACAACAGCAGGTAAGTTTGTTTTGCTTCCTGTTTGTTTTTAAACAAATAAAGGGCTCTTTTCTGAGGGGCACCCTTCCGCAGACCCTCTGTGCGTGCTGAATGTGAAGTGTCGTGCGAGTGAAGAGCGTGGGGCGTTATTTGTTGTTGTTTTTTTTGTGCACGTTAATGCTGAAATGCCAGGGTCCCGTTTTGGTGGCGGCACCGTCTCGCTGACCCCGCTGCACGCCGCCGCGCTCGCCTGCTGATTAAAATCCCACGGCGTATTTATAAAAGTTGTGCCGAAGCCTTGCAGTGCATGTTTTCAGAATCTGTTAGTTTACTGTGTGATGCGGGCGCGTAGGACGTGATGCAGAGCTTTCCACCAGAGGGCCACATTACTTGAGACTTCGCTTCGCTTGCGATGAATTGTTCCAAAGTCGGAGCTGGGGTGAAGGGACCAGAGTGACTTCTCACAATAAAGATGCTTTGCTGTCGTAGGTGTAAATAAAAAATGCTGGTTAGTTCAGAACCACCGAAACAAAAAAAGAGCATGTGCCTGTCTATGTGTGCGTGAGTGTAATTTGGATGTGTGATTTTCAAAATATGGGAAAAGAGAGAAGCAGCTTTTCTGTAGGTATGTTTCCATTCTCACTTTTAAAACATTGTTTTAAGTTTGTCTGTTTGTTTTCTCGACGAGTTAATAGAGAACTGCTTTTATGTTTAAAACTGTAATATTAAGTCGTCTGTCTGTCTGGCTGACGCCATCAAATTATGAGATGCAATCAATTAATTTTTGTCACTGTAAGATTTCTGTTCCTTTTAAAACCTGCACAAACATAATTCCTTCTCCTTTGCCTACTGAAAGAGTTGCTTCCCCGTAAGGGGATGCAGATTGTATTAATGCAGTGAAGCCCAAATGGTGTTGTTTGGTAAACAATTGGGGTCTGATCCTGCAGAGTGCCGGTACCTGCTCTGAACTCTTCAAAGTCTTCTGTGTCTGGTCCTCTCATCTGCTGAGGCCACTCAGCACCTTTGGAGTTCAAACCCTTCATTTCTAAATACTGAGGTTTTTTATTACAACGTCAGGTATTGCATTAATGGAAGGGAAGTTGTCTACTGTAAGATAAAATATTATAAAAATCCTGTTTTATAGAAACATGTTTTAACATGATAGATAAATTGCATGTGTACGGGCCTCTGAAATAACAGGTCATAATAGCTCTTAAAATTGAATCATTCTTAGTGCTGAATTAAGCAGTGTACACTAGCTACATTTATAGTTAAATATTTTAAATGGTGACAGAAAATGTGGAAGAATTAAATAGTTGTAGATTGAAATATGAGAAGTTGTTAAGGCTTAAATCTGTGCCTTGCTTCAAATTCAAGTGTATTCTGTTTTAACAATTGAGCACTTACAGTATTATAGTCTGAGGAAATATAGGTTTTGGGTTTTGGTGTCTTCATTAAGTTCTTAGCAAGCTATATATACACCTATATATACATATATGCACAGTATTATCTCTATATGTACACTGTGTATATGTACTATTTTCATATAAAATTTTATCTCTCTATATATACACACATACATATATTAATTTAATATTGGAAAAGCATGCCATCACCTTTATTCAGGTGTTCAGATTATAGCAGCATTTTAAAATCTTTATTGAGAGAGAGTGTATTTAATTGGTGAAAATGTTGAGAAAACTAAATTTAAGGGAAACTCTTTAAAACACAAAAATGCCAACAGAATAATGTGCCACTTACATGTTTCTCACAGCAGCAGTCCTAGGCATTTGTAGCCAATTTGTCCATACAGTCACAGATTCCAGTAGATAGCATTTGCAAAGACCACAGAGAATAACAACTGAAGATGAAAATATCCAGTTGAGTGCTAATAACAGACAGGTTCTGAGGGGACAGGCTTAGAAGTGACAATCTTTTCTTCAAAACTGTGATTAGATCTTAAATAAGCAGACAGGCAAAGTAAAACCATGGGTACAGTTAATAGGACTCAAGAGGCATTTTATGGTAGGGTCTGCACCATAGGATTTAAATACAACTTGAGTTAGGCATATAAATCCTTCTATAAAATATGTTGATGTGAAACATAAACACTAGTAAACATGCAGTAGGATGTCCTTTAGATAATGGTCATAGCTTTATGTTACTTTTGCTTTTCTTCCTCTTTTTCAATTCCTTTTTTTTTTTCTCTGTTTTTGACCAGATGCGTTTTGAAATATGATTTAAGAGGAAAATGATGGCTGTTTTTATTATTGTCACTGTAGTAACTCTCTAAAATGTTATTTTTAATATGCGACTTGCCTAACAAACTTTGACAAGTAGAAAACCAGAGCAAACCCCATTGTACCTGCAGTTATTATTCTTAAGATTTTTTTATGGTTTAAATATGTGCAAAATATAATGGACTGATGTCATAGTTTAACATTTCAGTTTTGGCTTCTCTGAGTCATTTTATTAGGGGCCTTCAAATAAACAAATCAACTTTGTTATAGCTTTTTCTAGAGGAAGCAAGTAAATGATTGCTGGTTTTAATAAATTTCCTTCAGCTGGGCAGCTACATAAAGTGATGCTAATGCCTAAGAATAACTATATCAGCTAGGTAACATCACAAAATAACTTTTCACTGTCACATGAATTTGTATTGGGGAAAGATAACTATGAGAAATTGTAGATTTTTCAAAGAACAGCTAGGCTAAGTTAAAAATTTAAGTTATATACGATCTGCATCTTGTTCAGTCATTATGATCACAAATTGGTGGATTTGTAGAAAATAAATAAGCTAAAATAATAGCCTTTATTACTTTCTTGTAAGCAATTATATGGAGTTTGGACAGTCCTGTTATTGACTTGATGAACTATGTTGTTGTGATCTTTATATAGAAATGAGAAGTTTGACTTAAATCAGGGAGTTATTCCTCATCCATGTATCAAGAGAGAATGACAGTATTCTATAATATATTGTAATATACACTTGGTGATAAATGGATTGGGTGCTGTCACAAGTCATCAGGTCGGCTTTGAAGATGTATGACTAGAACGTAAGCAACTTTTTATCTTACTGTCGATATTTATCAATTTATAAATATTGCTAAGGTGAATGTAGATTTTTATTATTAAAATATGATGTAAAATGTAATCTGCTCAGACTTGTTTCTTACGGGTTTTTTGGCTTATGACAAGACATTCTTTCTCTCTCATATATGTACATTCGTACACTTCTGAGGTTTTCACTCTCATTTTTTTTTCTTGTCTGTTGAAATCAGTGTTTGATACTAGAATTTATAATATATGGAAAAAGCATATCCTTGATTAAATACATTGACAGATTATTCTGCATTAGATGTAGAATTTTATTTTGATATTAAGTTTGTAGAATTAATTGTTTGTGTCACTAAGGTCAAAATAGTTGCTAAAAAACCATGATTGCTTTACAGGGTAGATTTGAGCTTGCATTTTGAGTATTCATTAAGTCAGTTCTACCAAGATAATCTTTTTAAATGTTTTATGGGAATTTATTGGTAAGAAGCTGTATCAGTTGACTAGGTTTAAAATTATTTTTCCAAAGTAGTTTTATTTTTTTAGCGTATCACTTACTACTAGCATTTCAGTAATACAAAATAAAAATAACATTTGCAAAAGCAAAAATGTGATGCTAGCATTCAGCTTATATTCATGATGTAGAAATAGAAGTTTTGCTTGCTTATGTGTTTCATCTTTGTGATTTTTTTATAAGGGAAGAAAATAACAGGGGGTTTTTATTATGTGAAGTCTTAAATTAGGCATTAACAAAACACTTATATTTCTATATGTTGGACTAGTTCTTTACTAAACCACTAGAAACTTGTGCTTTTACTCCTTGGAAGAGCAAATTAATTTTCTCATACTGTACAGGCAGTTTGTATTAAAAACTGACATAAAAATCCACTCCTACTACACCTGTGGTAAAAGCTAATGCCATAAAGAATGCTGATGATATGTAACTTAAATATAAAACTTCTTAGTGCATCTGATTGCACTTATTGTTACTTAAATTGACCACGTGTGATATTAGGAAATAATGCTTCTTCCTAGTGATTTAAAATTGAAGTTAAAATTCTGGAAAATTATACAGAGGTGTCACAGGCTCATAAGCTCAAAAGGGGCAAAATTTTGTTAGGTTCATTCATATGGCTTTCAGAGCAGGTATTACCAAATTAGCAGATGTTGAACTAGTAAGGGAAAGTATATTTTCCGAATGCAGACACACACGTGGTCTAATCTTTAATTTATTAGGGAATTGGAAATGTCCTAAAATACCAGAATGTAATTTCACAGTAGTCCTGATATGCCCCAAGAACTATTTTTGATTGTTAGTCTTTATTTTTTTTACTCCTGCTGTGTGCTTCTGCAAACACAATTTTTTTTTCCCTGGTGAATGATTGGAGAAGGGCTAAATTCAAGCACAGGCAGCCTGCCCGCCTACTGACACTACAGATGGAGTAAAAAGAACGTATTTCACTTTCCATGTCTGCTATGCAATCTTTGATGAATCCCTTACCATCTGATTTTTCAAAAAATTTGAGCACATGGCTGTTTAATGCGACTGCCAGGAGGTGTGTCTCATGCGCACCACGCCTCAATATTTCCACCTGTGAAATGGGGATGATACTATTTGGCTGGCTTACACATTTGTTTATGGAAAAATTCATAAACTGAAGTCATAAGTACACGAGCCAAACAATCTCATTAAATATTGTAAAAACCCCGTATCGCATCTCAGTTTGTTAATTTGATATGAATATAGATTTTCTGACGTAAGTTTTGTAAAAAGGTCTAGTGCCTGTGCAGCTGTATAATTTTCTAGAGCTTTCCTTCAAATAGATGTCAACATAAACCACAATGTTTATCACAAGAATAAAAATTAACACCCAAATGCATATATTAGGACAGACTGCTATAATATCACAGCAAGATTTTTAGAGAAGCACATTGAAATAAACCAGCATACATTTTTCCTACTAGTA